TTTAAAGTTAATGAATAATAGTAAAATTAAAGAAGGAAAAAATATTTGTTTTATTTAAAAGAATTAAAAATGACAATTAATTTTAGATAAATTTTGAGCAAAAATATATATATAAATTTTTGGCACAAAGAGAGTATAAGTTGCTCAGGTTAAAATACCTATTTGGTTTCTTAGCTTTCAAATTTATATCGAAATTATCTTTTAACTTCAAAAAGTATCAAAATCATCCTTGAATTTTAATTTTCAACACCAAAAATGTCTTTTCCATTAATAGAAGTGTCATGCAATTTATTATTTTGCCATAAAATCAATTTTTCAAAATATTAATGACATATAAAGTCAAACAGTCATGTTTTAAGATTGTTATGTATTTTTATTTACAAATTAAATTAATATATAATTAAAATTAAAAAACTAAATTGGTATTTATAATAAATGTTCAAGGACTAAGTTGGTATTTGTCTTCTATGTTTAAGGACAATTTTGGTATTATCTTCAAAGTTTGAGGACTATTTTGGTACTATAAATTAAAGTTTGGGACAAATTTAGTATTTTTTAAAGTTGAAGGATAATTTTAGTATAAATATAAAAGCTGAGGTACTAAATTGGTATTTAACCATTTGTGGACAAGAGCTAACAACCTAAGTTCGATTCGAGTGACCCATTTTGCCATGAACAAACCACCTACGCTGACCTGCAAACACACGCAAACGACATGGGGCGATTTACACATTTTGTCAAAAGAATTAAAAATAAGAAAGTAAGAAAGATTTGATGAGCTCCTAGTAGAATAAAAAATAACTATTAAAAAATAAACAATTGTTGAATAATTTAATCTGCATCAAATTGAACAATTTTAAGTATTATAGGAGAGTGAATCAATATTAAGAACTATTCTTTTATTTAATAATTTTTATTTTATAATTTAATACAATTAAATTTGCAAAATTAAAAACTCATAAGAAAAATTGTGAATGCACAATGCAGCACATAGTAAAATTGATATATACAAAACACCGAATTGCATCTTTCAAAACTGCAAATAGAAAAAAAAATGCCTCTTCATTACAAATATTAATATCTAAATGATTTCGAAATGGCACATACAAACAAGGCCTTTATTATTATTATTATTATTATTGAAAAATGATTTGTACATATTTAATTTGATATGCTTTTTGATACTAGTTTTGATTTAAGTATTAAAATATAATATAAGTATAGCAAGTTAACAAATTCTTATATTCTGTATAAATGACTATATTATTAAGTTTGTTTACTTTTAATTTCAGGTCAAAAATAATAATTTTTTAATAAATATATTGAAGAGGTATTGAATGAAGAAAGAAACTCCTGAGTTTAGGCAATGAAATCAAAGACAACTTTCAGAATCTTAACTTTAAGGGCTCACTTGCAGAAAAAGGAGATAGGCACAATTGCTAGGGTTATATAATAAGCATCTTAGTTTACCCATGCACTTGCTCAGACCATATTTCAAATCACAGTATACAGCATCTCTGAACACATTTTAAGGACTCACTTGAATGGAATACCAACATTATTCAAAAATCAAAAGAGAACAGACAACAATACCAGCTACTATTCATAAGCTCTAGAATCAAGAAAACTTCACTAAGCTAATCCTTCGTAGGACTCCATAAATAAAAAAAATCCTTCCTGGGACAAGATATAGCAATATGAAGACCTAATCAACTTTGGCTAAGAAAGAAGCTGCTAGTTTTACAGATGAACTCTTTAGACTGTGAATGAAGTCCACATCAAACTCGACAATAAGCATAACCAAACATGCTGAAATGATACCTATACACTGTTTTCTAGGATGATTCTGCCATCATTTCATCAGCAAAATAACCAATAAACTTTTAAATCCATGCCACATTCCTGGCCAGGTGATTTCATCTCTTTCTGGAAAAATCTAGAGTAAGTTTTAGATTGAGTATAAAATTTTCTGAACTATATTTTCCCCTGGTCATCTTTTCCTTGTTGGGGGAAGGAAGTTTATGAAGCTAGACAGGCTTGAGTTATTTACAAAGAACCAAAACTAAAAATTTTAAATGCTCCCAAAAAAACAAAAAAAAAAACCGGAATCTCTTTTGTATCTAATTTTGAATTTCTTAAGCATAGAGATATCATGTCGTGTGGCAATGCAGAAGTAAACATCATCTAAACAATATAGCTCTTCTCAGTACTCAACAACATAGCACTAGCAGAATTTTCATCTCAAAATTCCTTGAACTAGAAAACAATGACACAAGTCTGGAGCTTTGGTAAAACTAGTATTACAGACTAAACAATGTATTTTCCCTAAGAGACCATGCAGCATTGGATCGAGCCAGCAGCAACCCATTAAAGAAATGAAGAAAAGGAGAAAAATTTGCACAAACCCAAATCTTGAAAGCCTCTCCTAAATAACAGTTTACCATCCAATTAACCTTTCAGTCAGTTCAAAGCAACCTAGTCCTCAAACTCGTCGACTTTAACAGACGGTCATCCTAAAAGCGAAATCTCTGACCCAGACAAATTGCATAAAGGGTCTCACCAATTGACAATCAATTGAAAAAAAGAAAAAAAAATTGCGCAGAATCGGAAGCAAAGCTGAAGACATGGTGCTTGGAAACGTACCTTTTCTTTTACAGATTCTTGGTGTTGCCAAGCGTAGTGATCTTTGAGCGAATTGTTGGGGCTCGCCTCGATTTCGTTCCCCAATTGCTGCTTCCACTCGAACTGCGATGTGAATACAATTAACAGGAGAAGGACAAACAGCACCCTTGGTCTCGCTATTGTAGACAGTCACAAGTAGTAAATATCCTATACGCATGCGCATGCGTATCGGTTTTGTTATTGGAATATTATGCATTGGATATCAAAATTTTTTTATGCATAGTTTTGGATTTATTATTATAAAAAGATTTTATGAAAAATTTTGGGGAGAAGCTGAAGAAAAAAAACAAGAAAAGGACTCAATTAAAAAAATTAAAAAGTTGAAGATAAAATTTACTAAAATAAACTCATAAATCCAGCCCAATATAGAGCAGCCCATCAAAACCCAAATTTCACAAAACTCTAGTTTCCTCT